TGATGGCTTCATCTTCTTCAAAGAGTAGAAAAGTCAAATTGACACGCGATCTACTTTGTCAAACACTTAAAAAAAAAAAGAAAAAAAACCTCAGCAGATAAAACTTAACGCATAAATTTTTATCCAAATAATGAACAACTTCTCTTAACACGTTTTATTCTTCATAAGGCTTCGTGAAGAATGTGCCTAGTTCAAGAAAAAAATCAGCCTGAAGTTTCACGCGAGGTCACAATCGCTATCGCAAGGCAATCCTCCTCTCGACATATTTCTCGATTTTTAAAACTTGTTCAAACGTTTTAACACTTTTACACGCTAATGTTTTGGATGGCTGCGCGAAACAGTGGCTTTTATCTTGAAATCTTCTGTTGGGGCAAATTATGCAAATGTGCGTGCCGTATAGGCGTTATACACGCGGTCACGTATTAGCTGGTGTTTTAAAGTGTTCGATGGTATTTCAATGACTGCTAATGATTCCTGTAAACCAGAGTTTCTATGCAATGCTTTGTAGCTGTATTTTCCTGGGATTGAAGAGTATGATGAATAGAACCCTTTCTTCACAAGACTTATCGTTCTGGAGCGCGGTCTTTCCATCAAATCTAATCAAAGTAGACACCGTTGCGTAGCCACTGGAAATGGCCCACTTAATGAGATTCCTAATAAGCCTAAACTTCAGGTCTAGAAAATAAAAAAAATAAAAAAGAAAAAAATACAAATTAGAGAGAGATGGGAGGGCCGAGGAGATGGGCCGCTGAGGACCTGACTCGACACGAAGGCGAAACTACCACGTCGAGACGAATAACAAGCGTGGAACATCGACTCGGATCATCGGCTCTGAGGAAGACGAAGACGTCGAAACCTTAGCCGAAAATAAATATCATTATCAGCCTCGTGTAAGCTCATCAAAGAAAGAAGACATATTGATTTGTCGAACCGAGGTTGAAAGAAAGTCGGTTTCGACAAATTAGAGAGTCGGCAAAGGGACAGCGACAGGTATCAAACCTTGCCATTGCGTTCATGTTTAAAGTTGAAGCCTCCGTATCCAGTCACCGACATCTACTGTAGATACATAAAAGTTTTGAATTGCTTCGTATTCCTGTTGAGCAAACGAGAGGTGTTATTTCTATTCTTCATTCACGAATAAGCTGACGTTTCGGCAGATTTCGCCTTCCTCAGAGCCTGGAAAGGTCAAGTCGACACGAATCGATTCGGCCAAACACCTCCATAACCAAACAAAGAGAACGCTAAACCAAGATTTCAATCATATTAAACACAGTTTCGTACAATCACCGCTTTCTATGAGGCTTCCGCTGAGTATGTCTCCTGAAGACCAAACGCACAGAATTCACATGGAAGTGTAATGTGCCCGCCCCTCCAATCGGAATAACAGGCTTATATACTGCCCAATAACATGCGTCATAATGAGGCATTCTTCCCTATGGTCCACTTTAAGATTTCTGCAATTAATACAGAACGCCTCGAGAGTTTTGCCCGCTTGTGTTCTCGATTCCTGTGCGAGGACCGTGACACGTACTCCAAGTCCTCCCCGTTATGTCTCTGGATCCTATGCATGCCTAGTGGGGTATTTGGTTTACGTTTGCCGACTAGGTGTTCTTTTATGCGGACACAGAGAATAATACCCGTTTCGCCAATGTATTCGTCTCCGCACGCCTTACAGGAGATCAGATAAACTGTACCCGAGCTCATGCAATCACCATCTCTACCATTAGGGCAAATTGTCGAATTTTGCGTTGCACATGGACGGTCATATAGGCGGTTACGAACCAGCTGGCGCTTAAGATTACTCGGTGGTATTTCAACTACGCTCACCGAATTCTCTAAGCCCGCCCTTCTTAAGCAGCGTTTTATAGTTGCACTTACATCGTTTGAGATGAAGGGTAGGATAAATGGGACCTTTCTATCGCTAGAGTTGTCGTTTGGGGGCCTAGGATTTCCCCTGCACCTATCCCGAGCTACAGTTTCGTAGCCATTAGAAATAGCTATTTGCCGCGCCGAGTTTCGGGACTCCTCTCTCTGCTCTCTTTCCATGCACACGTTGGTTGCTGTTCTAAACAGGTTCCTTACAAGCGCCCTTTTCGTGTGAGAGGGGTGAGAGAAGAAGTATTGAACCAAGATGTTTTTACTACTTGGCTTTCGGTACCACTTCGTAATGTAGCCATTTTCTGACAGGTTAAATTGCACGCTCAGGAATGGAAGCCAGTTTTCTTTCGGTTTCTCTCGGGTGAACTTGATAGACTCCGAATGTTCATTCAACAACTCGAAACATTTGTCCATTTCCTCTTGTGTTGAGCAGAGAACAAAACAGTCTACATCGACAGTCATCATCTATACCTACAGTAGTGTAGAGGCTCGAGATCGGTCACCGGTGGTTTCACCTTGGACATAAACGCAATGGCAAGACTTGGAGCCAGTCGTCGTCCCATTGCCAATCCTCTTATTTGAGCGTAATACTTCCCGGACCATCTGAAGATTGAGCAGCTCAAGCATTCTTTTAAGAGTGCCACCAACTGCTCTATTTTGAAGCCATATATGTTTATTTCTCCTTCATGTTGTATACGGAGTTCATATGGTTTGCACTGCGGAGTCATTCGACACGTTTGTTTAAAGGGCGGTAACGTCGAAGTACGTGCTTCTGGACTGCGCAGTACGTAGATGATCCAGGAACATCTGGGTGTTCGTTAGATGGACTGGAATGTGTTTCAACAACTGGTTTAATATTAGGGTTACAAACCATGCTATCCTATCCTTTGGTCCGTCTATGCAGCTAATGATAGGTCTAACCTTAAATAATGATGGATCGGTAAACCCAAGATCATCGCTGGATACTAACTCATGAGTTCTCATGAGCAAGTACAAGACGGGATATGTTGGTAAATCAATTTTTAGTTCAGAGATAACTGATGGTTTTAAACCAGCAGACCTTGCCCTTTTTGACCCAATCGTGGTTCAATTTTCGGCATTTACTTTTAAACTCCTTTTCAGATGACGGGCAATAAAGTGAAGCATCATCAAGATGCTTTTTCGTTATCTCAACATTTAATAGATGGTAAATTACGACAAACTCTCCACACTTATCACTAACGGATAGCCTTATGTTTATCAACCCTATCAGCTCTCGTACCTCCAGCATACTACGTTTTTCCACTTCAGTGAAGTTTGAGCAGTATCTTTTCACATTTATCTTCATTATCACGCGTGGTATAGGGCAGTATATAAAACTGCTTTTCTGATGTGAGGGGCACATTATACTTCCACGTGAATTCTGTGCGTTTGGTCTTCAGGAGACATACTCAGCGGAAGCCTCATAGAAAGAGGTGATTGTACGAAGCTGTGTTTAATGTGATTGAAATCTTGGTTTAGCGTTCTCTTTGTTTGGTTATGGAGGTGTTTGGCCGAATCGATTGCTGTCAACTTGACCTTTCCAGGCTCTGAGGAAGGCGAAATCCGCCGAAACGTCAGCTTATTCGTGAATAAAGAACGAAAGTAACATCTCGCGTTTGCTCAACAAGAATACGAAGAATTACCTGATCAATGTCGAGGTTAATGGAAAGTCGGTCTTATGAGTTTTGAATTGCTGTGAACAAAAGACTGGCTACCGTTCTTGAACGTTCAAAATCCACCCCTATCCAAAAACTGCTACACCACCAAATGGTACCGAAAGGCAAGTACCAGAAACCTATTGGTTCATCTTTCTTCTAACCACTCACACACAAAAAGGGTGCTTATGAGAAACATGCTTTAAAAAGCCACCAGTGTATACACAGGAAAGGAGCAGAAAAAAAAACCTCCGGACTTAGTGCGGTAAAAGGTCATTCCAATGTCTACAAAACGGTAGTTTCCACAGGTTTGTAGGAAAAACGAAACTCCCAAAGGACATGTCTAACGAAAGCAAGGGCCCGTTTAACCCACCCATTACCTCCAACGAAGGATAAAAATCAAAAGATATTTGAAAAGAGAGGTCTCGAGAATTCGCTTGCAGTGACTACAATATCATCGAACAACACCAGCCGGTTCACAACCTGTTGTAACAAAATTGCGTAATTTTCCTAAATGGTAGAGGCGACAATTGCATGACCATGGGTATGGTTTACTCGATTTTTGCGTAAGGGAAAGAACATCGGCTTTAGCGAAACAGGTAGACCACTCTGCATCCGAATAAAAAGGTAACTAGATGGTAAATTTCAGGTCAAGCAGAACACTCTACTAGGCACGCACAGGACACGATGGCGTAACGGACGGTTTTTTTTAAAACGTCACTTTCGTAGCAAAGGAATCAAAAAATCAGCGCGTAGAAGTCTTGAAGCGTACGGGTAAATTCCAAAAGCCCAAAAATGGACTGCAAAGAGTCCCTTGCGATCACGCGTTACCTCGCACCAAACCCCAGACTAATTTTTTCACCTGAGCTAGAAACTTCCCTTTATCATGTAATATTCACTTCGGCCGGTCTCCAACAATGACTAGCGGATTTGTAAAATCAAAACGCGACGTATTTAAGAGTTTTTAAGAAAAGCTGTTTACCTTGCGAATAAAAATCTAGGTATTAAGTTTTTGGCTGAATTATAGAAGCGTCTGACAAAGTACACTTCTTGCTAATTTGGCTTTTTCAGGTTCTGAAGAAGGTAAGCCGTCGAGACATCAACTATTGTGAATAAATACTGTGGTAACACCCTACTGCTTACTTATCAAGAAAATAGTCAGTTATTTTTCTCCTGCAGTTGAAAGTGGTAATCAAAACCACAGGAAGTCCATTGAATTCAATCCAACTGTCTACGAAGCAGTATTTCTCTAAGGAAAAACAATAAAAACTAAAGGTATATCGATCAGTGACAATCCATGGTTGACAGAAACTATTCCCAACTAATTTCTAAAATGACAACTATAGAACTCTTTCTTAGACTTACTACAGTGAGGTGAGGAAATCAAGAAATAGAGCCAATGAGAGCCAGAGGCTATATAACACCATAATCACTTTTTAAAAAAGCCTAACTAACCTTCACAAGCGCAAGTTTCTGATGCACGACAGGATCCTGTGAATGAGCTTCAATCAAAAGTATGTGCTTTTCTACTACTTGTATAATAGTAGTGACGGTATTGGTGACCATCATTAGCACCCTACGCTTCTGCCTAGATCTGCCAGAAGGTGACAGTTCTCGCTCCATGAGATCACTTCCAACAAAATGACGCGGTTTACTGCTGATCATATGCAAGAGATCCATTTGTGTTTGAAGTTGATCGAGCTCCTCAATGAGATTCAAGTCATCGACATCACGGTTCTTCACGCGCTGTTCTAGCCGCGTTAACTCGACGATGATTTCTTGCTCTTTTTCAAATAACGATTTCTCTTCCTCCATCTCCATCTGTAGGCTTGATTTGGTTTCCTGAAGTTCAAACCAACATTAACTATTGAAAGGAGTGGATAAGAGGGAACTAAATAGTCAAAATTAATAGACAAACAGTAGAAGCGCACTAAACAATCAAACTAAGTAAAAACTGTCTTCAATATAAAAAACGCAAAAGTTTTCAATTGAAAGTTAGTGTTTATATGAAAGACCGTAATCCAAGGTTGCTACGTCCTACTTGCGTATACACCCATTGTAGACCCCTAACGCCAACCAGGACGGCAACTCATTTACTGGTGACAAATCCATCCGCAAAAAGTAAAACAAAGTTTTCCAGCGAGCAGCAAACGTGCTTTGGCACAATATGCTCTTGAATGCCTCAACATCGATAGCAGAGAATATCAACAGCACCACAACAATCAGTTTAGACGTGAAGGCAATTCACGTTATTCAACCCCTGATCAAGCTCAGGAAGTAACCGAAACTCCATCCGGTCACCGTTAATTACTCTGTAACGAATTTCTGAAGAATAGTACAGTTTTTTTCCAAAGATGATAAAAACAAATGCTAAAGAATATAGTGTTCTGCATTACCCGACTCTTCAAGGATACACCATACATTCCACTCCATTAAATATTGTAGACGTGATTAAACATCCATAGCTGAGGCATGAATCACTTGGTTTTTTTCGGGGACGTAGGATTAAATCAACTACAATTGTTGCATTGCAGAAAGTCCCTAACTATTCACTACATGCTCTCTAAAATAAGGCGTTTCTGGCGTTTCTGAAGTTATAAACGGTTGTACTAACTTATACGACAATTCTATTCTCCAACGAATTTTGCCACGCTCTGTATGTGGGATCAGTTTTCTTTAGCGAATTTAAAAATTGAACATAAATATAATGGCAAATTTCAGTGAATTAATAAACGCCGTAAGTTAAAATTTTGTCTCTTTTCCATACACGAGGGACTTCAAAATATGTTGCAACGATCACTCTTACATTCAGATGCTGCTGCAGATGAATCATAGAGTTCCCTATTGCTTCCTTCTTAACATCATCCGATAATGCCAGATCAACAAACAAGCCATTTAGTTCCTCGAGATATCCCTATAAAAGTGTTAAAGAATATCACATATCGAAAGTAAGTGGCGACGTAAGGACAACTAACCAGGATTACGTTATAATCCTCCTTAGCATTACGTATGGATTTTGGGCCTTCATTGTACGACTGAATAATACAATGAAGTCGTCCTCGAAGATCACTTACTGCTCTTTCCAGATACGTTTCACTACTAACACTTGCCCTAGCTACATCCACGCTCGAACAAACCGACTGCACAGACCCAGGTCGGTCTACCAAATCTGACGACGCCAAAGAACTAACAGATAGCTGGAAATTAAAAACGCTTTAGTTCCCATTGCTCCATCAGGTTATTCAAAACCATTGAATTAAATTGTGTTTAAAACTCATGCAATTCTATAAACAAACAATATGAATTTCGATACGAATCTATACTCCTTAAACAAAACTTGAAATTAGGTCAAGTTAAACCTCATTCAACAACGTGTCTCACCTGAGATGGAGTCGATACGCCCTGAACTAAGGTATCCACATGTATTGGAAGTGATGCCTCATCGACACTGTGACGCCTTAGTTTACTGAGTAATACATAGTACCTGCGACACAGTTGCAACACTTGATCACGATCGTGAACGTTCAACCTCTCCAGTTTTCCGACAAGTCTTTGGTAACTTAAGCAGTTGGACAACAACTGCGAAAGTCGTTTCGTCTGCAAACTACCTGCTGGCATAAGTTCTACTGCAGCTAAGTCGTCTTCTACAGTATTAAGCCAACATTCGAACTGCTCCAATTTCTTTCCAAGCTTTTCCACATGGCGCCGTTGCCTTGCAGTGCTCGCGATTGACTTCGAGATTTTGTTGTCCAGTGAAAATGCCTTTCGCTGCAGATCAGCGAACTCAGGTCGAAATCGCACCCTCATTGAGGCATCAAGTATGCTTTCGAGTGCCCCCACATTCTCCTTCCATTGTTGCCATTCATTTTCATTAAATTTAAGCAATTCTGCTTGTGCTCTGTTGTTAATGAACTGGACAACTTCATCTTCATACACACAAAACAGGGAATTCAAATAGTCATGGTAGGTGTATGTATAGGTAAGAATCAGTCGCTCGCGTTGCTCCCGTCGATTGAAGTAAAGTGCTGAGATTCGGTCTAGCTCTAATGTTTGCAAATCCGAAATGGCAACTTCGTTCATATCGTCAAATGCCTTGTTCTCGAGTTCCTCTTCACGTTTAAGCTCCATAATCGTAGAAAGCAACTTGTGTGGATCCTCTGTTGTTAAGAGGTCCTTAGCAATTAAGGATTCGAAGGAAAAAGCCATGTGGTCGAAATTGTCCTCATTAATCTGTAAGTAAATAGATTATCACAGCAATAACAATAAAATGTAAAAAATGTCACGCCCAATACTTACAGGACCCAACAATCGCCTTCTATATCTCCTAATTAATAGCGATAACGATAGGTCAGAAATGACCATTTCAGCACGACCTTGAAGCTGTCTAACACGTTCTGCCTTTTCCTCCAGTTTATTACACATTTCCTCCACCTGAAGAGAAATAACACATATTATGCGAAAACAGAGTACCATTTATCCGATGTTATAAGCAACAAACAGCAAATAAAGTAATAAAGTGGAAACTAGTGAATTTGCAGTGGCTCAACTAGCGAAATGAGCGGAGAGAAATTGTAATAAACAATTAACCTTTATACGATTAGTAGGAACAAGAGTGATTCCAGAGTCATTACGGATGTCAAACACTTTCACATTTAAAGCATAAAGCTTAACATTTAGCAATCTCAACGCGTTTGGCACGGAAACCGTAACCTCTTCCAAATTCGGACAAGCGCATCTCAACTCAAAACGAACTCCATTAATCAGCATAGGAACTATCAAAATTTGAAGGTTTTTCCAGAGAAATGCAAGTTTTCCCAATCTATCACGCTGTTCAGAAACTAATGTACAATTTGTAATTTCGTTTTTCTTTATGGAAACAGAAATAGTTCATTTGACGATCAAATAATCAAGCAACGATGGATGAATATTCTGGAGTAATTTAACATAAAGGAATGCTCACTTTTCTTGCATTTTCGTCCGTAACTTGGTAATCATTTTCACCCCCCCCCCCCCCCCCCCCCCCCCCCCCTCTCCCCCAAAAATAAGATGTACCATGTTGGTAGGTATACTGCAAGGGCACTGTGTTTAAGTACGGCCTATTCTTTCACCATGGAATTGTTGGGATGGTTGCGATGGTATGATGTGAAAAACAACGACATGGATACTAAGATATGAGCAAAACTCGAAGCTTTTAGTTGGGCTTCGAACACGATTATGTGCTGTCTACCACACTAACCTTTCTCTCAGCAAATTTTTTACATTAACGGTGACATCAGCAATTACCCGTCAACGAGGATTATAGGGAGGACATAAATCAGAACTGGAGCATTGGCGTGATGAACAGAAAGTGAGCACCCGGAAAGGGTAATCGCGAGTTCGAAGCCTCCTAAAGTTTCGAGTTTTGCTCATATCTCAGCATCCTTTTGCTTGCATTCCACATATCCTGTCATGAAAAAAGAATAAGTAGCAGTTTTATATTTTGCACAATTAGTATAAATAAACTTGCTTATCATCGGCAAAATGTTTTAATTTCAATGGATTTCTCGATAAGCATAGTATATTCGGAGCTGTTCTTTACTTGCCACTGAGGAAGAACCTCTGAGTAGAGTCGTCTATGGTTGATGATAGGCATCAACCATATTCTCCCAAGAAAGTGAACAGGAACGCCAGCTACTGTTGTGTTGTATGTGTTACTTGTATGTATGTATAACAACCTCGCGATTGTTGAACAAGAAAACGACGTATTTATAGTTCTCAGGATTGACTTTCTCTTAACCTCGGCATTGGAATATGAATGTGTCGTTTTCTTGTTCAGGAATCGCGAGGTTTTTAAACAGCATACATTTACTTCCATAGAAAAACAATCCGATACAACGCTAGCTGACGTTTCGGCAGTATCGCCTTCTTCAGAGCCTGGAAGGGTATACTGATATACAATCTACTAGGCCAAACGCTTCAATAACACTTACACAAAGACGAAATATCTCGTCTTTGTCTAAGTGCTGACGAGGAATATTTCCAAAGGGACGAGTTATGTGTGTCTAGGCTCCAGATCTCAACAGAAGGGAATGAGCAGCTCGGAGATAAACGCATCGAGCATATTGAAGAGATTTTGCGATTTTGAAGTAAAAGTCAATATCCTTGCACAGGAGTCCAAAACACCAGCGCGAAAACTCCTTGAGTCTTTTTGGATCAATGCCAAAAATCCTACAATGAATAGCAGGGATGAATGCCCGGAGGTCATACGCGACCTGATCCCGTACGTTCGCATCGATTTTCGATGTGGGATGGTGCAGTCGTCAACCACATGCGACTATAATCAGCTGTTCTAAACTTCCTCATTGGAAGTCACGAAAAAGCGGTGGGTTTTTCGAGAAGTTGTTGATCGTGTAATTACCAAAGAGTCTTTCGTCTTTGTGTGAGTGTTATTGAAGCGTTTGGCTTAGTAGATTGTATATCAGTATACCCTTCCAGGCTCCGAAGAAGGCGATACTACCGGAACGTCAGCTAGCGTTGTGACGTATTTATAATTCATTGTCGGGTTAACAGAAAGTCGATCCTGGAAACTAGTACAACCTATATTGTATTTCAGCTATATGAAGCAAATATGTATAAAAGGAGCCCTGCAATAATATGTAATAGAAAAGCACTCGAAAAAAACTATTGCTAAGACGTAGGAAAATGAAATTGTGAATCCGACATTAATTTCTGAACAACCTGATATTTAGCATTATATTTAACATGTAATAGAAATGATAAGTGGTTTAAAAGAAGACTCGCCTTGTCTTGCACATCAGGACTCCGATCGTTTCGACCACCAGGGATGCCCACAAGACCGACGTCGATCGAGGAGTCGGCGTAGGAGACGAAATCACGTACGGCGTCCAGATATTCAAGGCGAATACGCATCAAGTCTCGCAGTTTGTCTCTTTCGAAAGTTAGCAAATTCAACCTAAAAGGACTTAGTACGAACGAGAAGAATAAAACCAAGCAAACAAGGACAATGTCAACATGCAAATCTTTATAGCGTATGTAAAACCCGTTAATGTAATTCCAGTTGCAAAAATATGTAATCATCAAACATCTGGTTAACTTAGCTTAGGCAAAACTTCAATAAATAACTAGTCGTTGAAGGGCGGACTATTTCTAAGTGGCTCTTTAACTCGAGAGAAACTGTTTCCCATCTAAAACCACACAAAACTATAAATTCAGCTGAGTCCTACAGTCAATATATAGCGACCTTTGATGCAGCTGTACAAAACGTATCTTAATCTACAAATTGCTTTCACATAGATAGGACTCTGAAGAACATACTTACTTACTTGGATGGATCTCCACTCGTTGCTCGGGCCTCAGCATAATTTCCATTCAACGGTAATTTGCTAGTTAAGCCATTGTGGTTCCCTTGAGTCTTGAGGGCAGACTCGCCGAAGTCTGCCCCAAGTGACCACCGCAGGCACTCACTGCCCTTGTAGATCAAAGAGAGATTTGCCACCATGCGACTAATTTGATACCAGGACGGTGGTGGAACCTGGTATTGGTTTTCTCTTAGTTGGGCCTCCTGATGGGAACTTCGAACTCCTTTTCAGCTTGGGAGATCCTGATGGGGGGGGGGGGATGAATCCCCTGGTGTACATTGCAGCCCGACACCAAGAACACCCCCAGCCACGATGATGCGGTAAACCCTTAGGAGGTGAAGAATACAGATAGCTTAAAATTAATCATCTGGGACTGATGAAAGTTTCGTGATATTTTAAGCACACTTAGCAATCTAGCTTAATGATCTGAAAGCTTGTAAATGCCTGTGTAGAAAGACATCGCCAATAGATGAGGTATTTTTAGATAAAGTTTACAATCTACAATGCAGTTTTCTTCCCTTAAGTTGTCCTTGAAAGCATAGAAATATTAGTCGCTGGAAGATACATCGCAGAGTAGACCGAGTACAAAAGAAAAACTTTCAATGATGAGTAGTGTACAGTAGGTGTAACAACGTGCGAAAGAGGGTCGAAATTTACCACACAGTAGGAACATTCATATTGGAAGAATTTTCGTAGGACTGCACCAATTCTGATGATATGCATGGTAAAAGACGTGAACCTCGCGTCCATCAGGCTTCGGCGACAAACCCAGCGGTTCTCCAAAAGGTGGCAACCGAATTACACATTTCACAACTAAGTGGTACACAGAAAGTATAACAAGATTTTTACATTTTATCCCGGTAGTCCTAGCGAACGAGCGACAGTGTATTCACATGCCGACAAGTCTGTGTTCGGCAGAAATGTCGCCAGTCACAACGGTTTCGACCAGGACGCTGGTGAATTTTGGCAGTACCTCATGCTTGGTTAGACTTCCTAGTAGAAATATCATCTCCTTCCATTTTTATTTGCAAAAAGACGAACTCCGTACATCGGTGCTCGATGCTCAAAAATCACCCTAATCCTCAATGAATCAATAAAGCGTACAGAAAGACATGGGGATTCACACATATACATGACCCAACCTGGACATCTGAAACACAATGCAAAGTCTAGAGTGAGGACAAAAAATACTGTTGCTGAGGCGCAGTGCTTACCACTCAGAAGTCGAAACATTCAATTTGACAAAAAAATACTTTGTAAAAACGAAAACAAACAAAGCAGAACTGAGACCGCTGCGGAACCACTGGATTAACAGAACTTACCAAAAATATCGATCAAATGAAATATACATATTTTGGTAAATCAAAACCATGTATAAAAACAAACTTTTCGTTGACGCGGTCAAACTCAAGCTGGAAAAAGCTGCCACTGATAGCGACAAGTTCCTTCCTGAGTTGCAACGAATCTTTAACCCACTCGGTATGACATCGCTCAAGCAACCTATTCATTTCTGATGAAATCGTTGGCACCTAAAAGACAGTAAACATTAGATGGGATAGAATATCTCAGCTTAATACAATCGTGACGGTGCCTAATTTTCATTTATGGCCACATCCATTTAATTAACACGAACGGCCCACTGTAGCACTCTTCCAAAAAATGAGTCCTCCCTTTTTATGTTAATCGCACTGTAAATTAGTTTCTCCACCTACTTCATTACTCACTTCTGTCCATTCTGCGCTATATTAATCCTGTGTTCAGGTTATTCATCCATACTTTCGGAACATTTCCATTTTATGTGTGTATAACTAAAAACCTCGTTCACCACTCAGTCATTTGCTTCGTTTGATGGTCACGTTAGCACATGTAGACTACAACTTGTACTTTTATATTTTCCTATAACTCTAAAATAATTCAAAAATCTAATACGACAACTGTGATTTACCACAGTGAAGGGGAAGGGATTAGTAACCATTTCTTGTGTAAAAATTGAATTTTTAGGATCGAATCACGTTGGTGAATGAAAATTCGAACTCCGAATTCTACCGACTCTCAACTAGACTAATGACGAAGAAAACAGGTAGAACAAACTAGAATTTACTGTAGTTCCTAGGAGAGAAAAACTTGAAGATACCAAATTCGATGGTGAGGACAATATGACAAGGATGTGTTCAGTCGCAAGTGGTTGATCTTAGTGTTATCTTGCAAAACTCTTCGATGACAGCCAAATCTGGTGATGAGGGATAAACCATACTTAGAAACAAAGACCAGACACATTTTGTGTTTTATGTTTGATGTTTGGAATCTGATTGCGGACGGGATTTACAGACAGCGGACGAGATGAGCAAGCCATAGACTCGGATAACTACCAAACAGAAGAAAATTTCTATCGGTCTCTGCCTAGAGATAAGAGATAATTGCCAAGCCCGAGAAATTATTGAGGTTACAATTTGGGCTACCGAAAATAAAACACTCCGTGAGACACGACGATACGATGCGAACCAGATTTAAGAAGCCGATGATTCGTCCCCATTTCATAGACGAGAGCAAATGGTGTCTTATTATCTATATATCAGTAATACCAACCAATACTGTTTGTTGTTCTGTTATGTTCGCATATCTGTTTGTTCATAGTTCGTGCACATCTTTTTTAGTCAGATATACGCGATTCTTGCTGTCTTAACGTATGTGTCCGCTGGTCGCTAAGTAAGCAGGATGAAAGGTCACTTGGCGTTATTGAACACGCAACCAAGAGGGCGATGCTCACCAAATGCAACTCAAATATTTTCAAAATGGCACTAACCCGTGAGGTAGAGAAAGAATCCAGGGTACCGACCTAAATCAACGATCAAACACAAGAGACACCGTTACACATGCCAAAATGTCGAAAATCAGATGGACCGGACATATTATGCATCTGGACAAAACCGACGAACAAGAGCCGTTAGGGAGTTGATTCAACGAAATGTCAAACGTACGACAGCAGAGGACCCACTGGGCTAGTCTTACACGCGACAGGGACAAACACTTTAGGAAGAACAAGATTTTCAAAAACTTAAGTAGCGATACCACTCCTATCTAGGTAGCGATTGAAAGATAACTGTTATTTCAAGGCAACAACAGTGTCGCGCTATCGCTGTCGAGTGACCTTGAGAAATGACGTTTTTGTTGTTTTACACTCGTCTTATCAAAAATCAAGCCCCAATGCCCTAACACGCAAACCCTTGGAGGAATGGCACAAGACAAATTACTACGGTTGCTTTTTCAGCGGCAATGCACTTCACTAATCAGTGAAACAGAAATCCGCATTGTTGAGAAACCATAACGTTTCACGACATATCCCAATCTAATAACTTGATCTGAATGAAGATGGGTTACAGGTATCCCCCCCACTGTCTCATATCAGTTTATCCGACTGCACCAATGTTGGATCTATAACTTATTAAACACTTATTTAATACCTCGCTTAGCGTTATGGTATTCCAAGCATTATTCTGATTTCTCATATGTCTGACAGCGTCGTAGTAATCTTGAAGACGTCGAAATAACTCCATTTTTTCGGTGAGGACTTGCTGTGCCTCAATGTTTCGCTCGTTCAACTGCGGACAAAATGCCACCAACTCCTCGGCAATCTCCTGAAAAAAAAAGTTGTACATTGAGACCACGGACGGAACGCAATGCTAGCTTGGCAGTACTGCTCAAAGGTCGAAATAGAAGGACGGTCAAGCGACCAAAATTTCTTCTAGAAAAGTTCTGCGAGCAATATTAGACAGTTAAAGTAAGGGAAATATTATGAGCCTCTTTAGTGAAAACGACGTTCCGTAAATCGATATGCCGAAGTGCCCGCTGCAATAGTGCATTTCGTTCACTGCACAAACAAAATCAACAATACTGCATATAGAAATACTGCGGGTATGTGGAACTCCGTAGTCAAGAGGAAAACAAACATCTACTTCCAAGACCGCGTTAAAAGATCAGTTAGAGCTCTAGTGATTTGAAGGGCAATGAATGACGACACGTCAAAGAGGCAGCACTGGCGCAACGCTCTCAACGCCTGATTACTGTCAGTGTAGATTCCAAAAACCGTTAACATTTTTCTTTTAAGCGCAACCTTGATGAAAGATGCTTTATTTGGAAATGCTTAGATATCTTCACAATAAGAACTATGCATTGTTACAACAGTTTACAAGTTTAGAATCCTCGAAAGATCTTAAATATACTATCTATTGATATGCGCTTATTTTTACCCACGTGTGATAAGAATAACAGAAAAAAACTTTTCCAGAAGAGACTATGAACGTTTGGTAGACAGGATCACAGCACACCGAGATTCTACAGCAAACAAAAAAACGGTCAAGAAAGAAAACACCACTGCTGTAAAGTGCGTTGAACATACGTGCACAAATTTCATAATAACGAAAGGACAGTGGTGATGAGCCACCAATCTCCACTTACAACAAAGCACTACAACAGGTATGGTCGAAAGCCCGATAGTCGAAATGACAGCACTGAATAAATAACACAAAAACTAGTTATCGATTAGCGCTTAGTAACCTCTATGGAATGTTACCACAAAACCCGCAACAATAAAAGGTAATCAGGAAAAGCAAGTCCTCAGAATTCCAAAAAGTAAAGACAATTTCAAAACAGCGTACCGAGACTACAGAGGAGAAGACAAAACGCGATTGTTTATAGCACTAGGTGAGATGGGAAAATTTTGAAGGAAAATTTCGAAAAGCCTGACTTATGTTACTCTAAGGTTTCATATGGAATTCCACCACATCTCATCACAACACTCGCCCAATGCACACGTGAAAATGATCTTGCTCAGAACAAGAAAAGGTAAGGCCTGCATATTGCAACTAGTATAAGGGAAACTATCGCTTTTCGGAGACTGGCGGTGCGATCAGCACTGACGAACGACCCGGCACATCCAATCTGAGGCCCGCATGAGTTATATCGTAACAAATGAGAAAGTTAAACTGTACACTATTAGATGAAGAAAGTACTTTGATTATCAGCGAGAAAGCAGGTCGATGTAGACGGGGGAGGCGTGCGCAAAATGCGACGGCAGTGTAAAGAAAGTGGCGAAGACGAGGAAGAACGAGATAATCGGAGACAGAAAACAGAGAACGCATATGAGAAGAAGGTAAACTTGCTGATTAATCACTTCGAGAAAATGAATATTACCTCAGTTAGAAGACACCCATAATTCGAATAATCTGGTAGAAAAACACCTACATACCCGCAAATCGAATATTCGCATAGACAAAAAACTAGATACCCGAAATTTGATTATTCTGATTGAAAAACACCTAAACAGCTTCAACCAAGCATTTTCCAACCGAAAAAAATGTCAGCATAGCCCAAGACAAAACTGTTAAGGATTCGAAACCTCAACTTTAAAAATAACAGAGATATTGGACAGCGCTAATCCGAATTCTTCGCGGAGTTTTTAAAACGTTTAAATACGTAATTTCACAGAAGTTCACTTTTAGGTAACATCATCTAGTTCTCAAGTTCCAGCAATGCTTACTGCTTTCGATAAATAAATGAACGTACTTTCACGATGCCATGAGCTACGGCGCAGTCTTCCTCACAGGACATCTTTAAACTGTGCAGTCGTTCCTGAAGAACGGTTTCAGCTAACACACGCAGTTGATTGGTAGCTAATAGAAGCGAATGTTTCAAATCATCAATGGATAGTCGCGCGCATGTTCGTTCGATGAGTTGAATCTCGTCCATTGTATGACTTTCGCACGTTCTGTTTAGCTCCAGGTTTGCCCTGATCTGCCTAACACGTTCCACCTGCGTCTGCCAGAACTCCAGTTCCACTCGCTTCGCTTCCCAACGTTTTCGCAAGCTTTCCAGCTTCTTGCTGTTCCATCCCATAAGCAATATTTCACAATCGGCCATGTCTTTAAGAGAAGCATGAACCTCCACCTCGTTCGTCTCGTGACGTGCCACGATCAGCTCAGCCCGATTGATTACCTCTTTTATGTAATTCTGAAAAGCAAACTACAGTAAAAGTCTAACCACAACAATCAAGCCTACTTAGCAATTCATTAATGGTCTGCAGTTTTCAATTTCTGTGGTGTTTTTCCCAATTAAATAGGGAACGTGTGGCGAAGTGGCTAAAGGTGCCCTGTAATACACATGGATTCGACCTTGCACTCCCGCCTCACCAAGATTTCCACCCCTCCGAGATACGTCAGTTGGTACCAGACTTGTTTGGGAGGATAGCAGCACCGAACTGATACATTGGCTGACTGTCGCAAGTTACTGTATAGGCCCCATGCTCTCAGTCACCTTTAACGCTGCTTGATGAAGTCGGATGCATAGCGCAACTGTGGGTTCATCAGCCAAGAGCTCTACTTTTCTATCATTTTCTCAATATAAGTGTGCATGTTTTCAAGTGTATCTTATTATTCGACAACCTTCTCGTATTCAAGTTTTCTTCACTTCATCATTGACTAGCGCGCCTGAATATACATAGTAGACTATATAATTAAACATGTGTACCTTGTCCACAGGAGGCTCGACGCAAGTTCTAAAGTTGCTTACTTCCTCGCCATGTAACTAAAAAATCAAAAATGAGAATTTTAATAACATGCGCTAGCCTTCATATTTTGCCTACCATGACAGTAAACGTATCCAGTGACTGATTATAATTTTGGAGGTTCAAGTACACCGCTGCCTCATCATTACTGATGGTGTCTATTGCTTTTTTCACTTCCTCCAACACATTCAGAGCTTCGACGCGATCCTGAACACCACTTATTCAAGAGGTAAGATTTAAATGTTCCGCACTAACAATTCAACAAATGCATAAAAACTCCCAGATTTTTAATGGTGCCACATCGTCGTTTCTAGACCTCTCCCACGCACTACCATGACATCGAAACATTCATAAAACCTCGTTATATAAGCAATAAATAAGAATTCTCACGTATTTATCTTTTGAGGCAAGCCATTGCTGTAACTGCTCCAGACTGTTTTCAATGGCACTCATTTGAGACTTGGCATTCCGTAAAACTGTTATGTTATGCCTCAAATTCATTCTGTTGCTATTTTCTCGCAACTCTTTCTTAACATCTTCCGTTGTTTGTTCATGAAGATCTTTCTGGAAACAACGGCATTTGAATATATCAGTTTAATCCTAACTATCAATGGTTTTACTCAATTTCTGCTCATTACTATAATGCATCTCATATGACTTTTCGCGAAACACATACTTCAATTTCTTCAATGAGTGCTGCTACTTCGTTAGCACTAGAGAGTTTGCAAGTACTTTGAGAAGCAGGCAGAATAACTTCGCCCACGAATCGACAGCTGGCAGTAAACTGAAAACGCGACAGTAAAAAGCTCTCGAAGACTGAAAGATAAGTCGACCTATAACAGGTTTGTGTTCTTTTATGATTACCTCCAATTCAAAACTATAGGTCGTGAAAACTTAACAAACTTAATGCACAGATTAGATTGCACTCTTACAGGTTACAAATTTGCTAAGGTTTTTAAATTTCAGATCCTCATGCCGTTCTTTAGAACATTATTTGGGGAAATTCCACGCTAACACATAAAAGTGATCGCATTGTTTGGAATCAAGTCATTAGTTGAATTAGTTGATTTCCGTCTTCACTGAATAACTGTAGATCTAGGATTTCCTTGCGGAAGAGAATGTAGACTTTTCTGAAGCACATATTTTAGTAGACCACAACAACATGTTTTCTAGCTGGATCATAGCAGTTGTCACTGATACTAACACTATCCATTACTTAGCTAAGAATTATAGCTAAACAGCAGGCGCAAATAAATGTGTCACTTAAAAACTGATTGTGGGAACCAAAATTCAGCTATTTGTCCCACTTTCGATTTCTTCAACGAGTCATCAATTATTTATGCATAAACCAGCCTCACAAATTTGCAATAAAGCGCATTGATTTTAGAAGCGTACGTGATAAGCCGCTTAGGAACATAGGCATTGGTCTGTTTTTTCTAATTCTAAAGTGTTTCTTTTTTTTTGTTAAGATTCTAACAAATTACATGTACTACAAAACATTTAATTTACGATTGTTTCTTTTTCCGCACAAGCTCTTCTGTAGTCGTATATGGAATCACTTCTTTACCACAAATGCTGCACAGAGGTATGAAAAAACCTATTTTCTACACATTTTTTATACACCATATACTGTGCGGAACACAACATTTCTTCCATTTCAGTCGTTTTTTGCATCCATGACCAGGTCTTCACATCCTACGTTTGTGCTAGGCTACTACGTCAAGATTTGCGTCTCCATAGGAACGTCATTTAGTGCTGGTTTTTATACATGACACTTTATAAAAGACACTGATAGAGAAGTTTTCCCGTACATGAGTTTCTGTACGGTACTTTCTGATAATTGTACAGATGCGATAACGTATATGGTATCAATGAGGATGCCAGGACCTGTTGTTTCATTCATCAAACATCGACACGGTCCATAGAATTCGGTTCGTAAATGTTGCGCACCGTTTCTTCAGAAACATTGTAAATCACATGCAAAAGAAATGCTTTAGACACGATATACACGTTTCATAATTCATACTTCGTCACGTATACTTTTTCCCAAACAGTTTGCTTTTTTGTTGCCATTGTAGAAACAATGTAAACATAAATGACAATGTAGTCAGTTTTTATTCACTGTCTATTCTTTTTTTCATGCCAGAGTATGATGTGAAATGTAATGACAACGATGATGAGATACTCGCAAAACTCGGACCACAGATGTCCGTGGTAGGTATCGAGCCTGCTATTTCCCTTTCTGGAAACTAACGTGTTCACTACTACACCAAGCGGGTCCCTCGTTTCGCCTTCCTCAGATCAATCTCGTTGACGGGTGATTGCTGGTAGTACCCATAGGTTAAAAAACGGCCGACAGAAAAACGAAGAACGGGTGTGATGGTGAACACGTTATCCCCCAGAAAGGGTAATAGCAGGTTCGATCCCCACAGCAGACACCTGAGCTCCGAAGCTTTGCGAATGCCTCAGCATCATTGTGGTCAAACATAAATGGTTTCTATATTGACCCACAATACAGGAAAATGTTTCGAAACACCTGAAACAATACACAGAGGATTCGTAGGGGTTATGTAGGAAAGAAAAAGACAGAAGTACTAGAAAAAATTGTTGGAAGAGACCAAATTACAGAGCAAAAACCACAAAATGGGAGCGTCTTCATTTTTCCTTGTTTTCGTTATTTTTCTTTTTTGCGCGGACGGCGACGGGGTGTATCCAGGCGATGGTTAAAGCATAGAAGCCATTGTCAGTATGCTAACAGGATTCGCTTTTACAACCTTATAACTTAATGCTCCTGCGAGAACCCCTAATTTTCCGCTGCGCTCCATCGGCCACTCCGAAAGTAACTATGTAGTCCCGCCTTCTCATGTCACGCCCAACTTCCGTTCTTTAAATCGGTCTCTACGTGAGTTTTGAAAGGATTTCTGCATTTCTCCTATCCCATGCATGCTCAATGTTCCTCTACACACCTTTCCATATTTTTTTGTACATTCACACTTGCGCGTTAACGACAATGGTCCTTAACGTTCTAAAGGAAACATTACAATATTTACCCTTTAGTTTTTATATCCTCTCATTCCAAACAATATCCAGAAGTCATCATAACGACTGAAAATTAGAAAACAACGAATTGCTTTTCAAAAATGATGCTGCACATCTCATGTGATGCCAGTTCTTTAAGACAGTGGCATTTCTGAGTCTCTTCAACAGCTACACTTGCATCGCTGTACACTCTCCTCAACAGCAACAATCTTTCACCGTTAGATGAGAAATCAGTGACGAATTATTAAAAAGTATCCTGCCAAGGATGATGACTGCCACAGCATCTGCGTTGGATAAGTCATCGCTTGGTCAAAAGAAGTACAGGAACAAACTTCCGTGCACCAAAGGAAACCATCGCTAAGAACAGGACACCTATAGGTGTCTTACGGGCTGTATCACCTGTAGTCCAATTGATCGCCGAGTGACTCGAGCGGGCGCCAGTAAATCATCCATTTGTCACTGTCGCGTGCAGTAGCCCATTGGGTTCTGCTCGCTCTAGGGACTCGTTGAGCATCATATCTTTTTTCAAGGCTCTTTGTGAAGAACGCTGACCATCGGGGTCGGTGATCTTCCTGCAGTACGTTTGACATACCGAGGAATCCAGTCACAAACGGCTTTTCTGCATCGGTTGTCATTCATACGCATTACGTGCCCGGTCCACCTTATCTTCGACTGTTTAGCGTACAGAACGGCATCTTTAATCATTGATCGTTGACGCAGATCGGAGCTTCGGATTTCATTCCTTACTTGTGTGGAACGGGATACTCCTAGCATCGTTCTTTCGACTGCGTGTTCGATAACGCTGAGTGATATTTTCATTCTGCTTACGCAGCGACCAGGTTTCTGACGTATACGTTAGTGCAGAAAGTACCGCTGAATCGAAAAGGTGGGCACGGAATCAGGTGTTCTTTGTTCTCCTCACGATATCGTCGATGATGTTGAAAGCTCCCCAACCTGCTCGTTTCCTTCTGCTCAACTTTGGATCTAAATCGCTCATCATGTTGATTTCCCGACTTAGGAAGACCTAAATGGAGCATTCGTGGATATTCATTCCGTTGCGTGTGAATGGGGCATGCGAAACCAATCCTTCTTCATAAATAATGTTTTGTGAGATTTAGCCGAAGACCAATCTTCCACAGGCTTTATCAAAGTCGTCAAGCATACGTGCCGCTTGGCTAATGTTTGGTCTTATAAGGACGATGTCATCAGCAAAGCGAAGATGGTGTAACTGCCGACCGTCGATTTTCACTTCCATATTTCCCATTCCAATGTTCGCATGAGGTTCTGGAGGGTGGCGGTAAACAATTTTGGCGAGATG